TAATTTATTGTTGTTGTTGTTAGTGTTGTCGGTTGTTTTTCTTCACCGTTTTGTGATGCGTTCATTTTCGAGTTGTCTACCTATAACAAAAAAAATCACACGATTAGGCCGTCAAAATTGTATAACTTTCATAATCTTTTCATCCAAACCAACATCTTTCCACCATAGCCATAATTATAAACATAATTTTTTTCACCATAATTATCACCTTAATTATCACAATAGTATTAACATAATTATCACTATAATTATTAACATAATTATAAACATAATTATAACTATAATCATAACCCTATCTATTTCTACCACAGTTCTCCCTGTCCTTCCCGCTTTTATTCAGCGCCCCACTGGCGGCACTCCTCATAATTTTTGGGTGCGAACTCTGGAACAATGATCCCTGCTCTCTCATCGGACTCACCTTTTATGGAGAATATTTTTATAGGTCAGTTCATTTGGTGTTTATACAGTTTATATAGGTCAGTTCATTTAACGCTTATGCAGTATATATGGGTCAGTTTATTTGGTGTTTATATAGGTCAGTTTATTTAGCGTTCATACACTTTATATAGGTCAGTTTATTTGATATTTATATAGGTTAGTTTATTTGGACTATATAGATCAGTTTATTTGGTATTTATTTGTGTCAGTTCATTTGAATAAGGTTACATCAATTTTATCGAAATTATATTTTTTCTGTGCTGCATTTATTTATAATTTTTTGATACTTATCATCAATGACATCACGAAACTAATAAAAAAATTTTTTTCATCTTTAAGGCTATCATCACCATTTTTATAATCATCGCCGTCATCATCACAATATCACCATCACAATTTCACCATCCCACTTTTCCACACCAGATGTCACGACAAAGATTCCATAGATGAGAAACTGTGGAGTGAAAATTACTACATGTTTCCTGTTTGGTGGGTTTCCTTACTTTGGATCACGAGGCACGTGTGGTTCCCGAACAACGAGAGACTTTGCAAGACCAGCAAGTTCGTTGGGCTTGAGGGAGAAAGATTGTCTCTTCTATGTCATCGACAATTTGTTTTTTTATTTCTCGGGCTTTGCACTCTTAGAAACTAGTTATTGCGTGTAACCTGAGTTAACTTTTTTTTATCACTTCTATCTTATCCTCTTCTTTACAATTCATAAATTTTTCGAGTTTTGTTTATAAAAGCGGATAAGTGTTTCAGCAGTTCGAAAGATACTAAATAAATTGTAGATTACATCGAGTTCGCCAATTTGAGGGTCGGACCAGTAACTTAGTGATATATTTGTTGATTTGTTGCATAATCGGGTGGTTGATTAGTTGAATAGTTGGTTGGTTGGCTGATTGATTTGTTGCATAATCGGTTGATTGATTAATTGAATAGTTGGTTGGTTGACTGATTGATTTGTTGCATAATCGGTTGGTTGATTAGTTGAATAGTTGGTTGGTTGGCTGGTTGAATAGTTGGCTGATTGGTTGTTTGGTTGAACAGTTGGCTGGTTGGTTGATTTGGCAGTATTCAATTGAAACCTTTTTACTGTTGCACACGCTGTCAGGATATACATCAATCCCTTATTCGATGGCACAGTTCTGGGCGAGTCCATCATGTTGAACAGGAACAGATACGACCAGCCCGTCACAAGCAGTGCAACCAATAAGAAGAAAACGCAAGAAGATAAGAAGAAAGACAACCAGAGCGTTATCGATCTAATGTCCAATGTTAGAGAATGTGTTATAAATCTGTAGTTGAAGTTATGTGATGTTACGCACTGTTATAACAAATCTTTCATTAAAAGGCAGTAGTTTGTATATCACTTTTTGATGTCTAGGAAACTTTCATTCTATGAAGCGCTTTTTATCGTACTTAAGGGC